ATCACACATTACATTCAAATATTAATCATAAACTTATTAAAACTCTAACGAGATACTTAAGAGCAAGAATACAAGAAGTACGTATCGAGCCACTAATGCTTAAATAAATATTTGTCCTCTCTACCCCTTCTTGTGTTAGTGGTTCACTGTGGTGGTTACAGTTAATAGGGTGCAATTAGGAAACTTTGTAAATCCTTGAGTAATTTACATAGACTAATTTTAAATTAATCCAGTCCAATTCTTGTTCAGTAAGGTACAAACTATAAGGGAGTGCAACTGTATTTAATTAAAAACGATTTTGAACGTAGAGTATGGTCTTGAACATAATTTACTTCAATAACTTTCACATATTTCAAAAGTACGTCAACAAAAATTTTACCACATTGAATATCAACAATGCTAGTTTTCCAAATCATAAGTGTGTATTTCTTGAATTTCAAAACACATTTTTAAAAATGTTAGTTATTTTTATCTAATTTACAATTTATTAATATGAATTAACCACATTTTCTGTTTTCTGAAATAAAATTTACTGTAAAAAAACTACCTGTATTTGATACATTTCAACAGAGTTAATTATCAAATATCAATTTTCTGAAAAGTCAGTAATAGAGAGACTTTCTAAAACAAACTCGTTATCTATTACGAAATAAGATTGTAAAGGTTTTAAAAATCATCTTTTGATTAAGCTTGGTGTATTGTTGTGATGATGAGATTTTAATTTTGTAACTACTTAACATCATTTTAAGTGGTTATTTTTTATTTGTACTTGGTATAATAAAGATGAATGTAAATATCTAAATAACCTTGTTTCTCTAACTATTAACTGAAACGTATTTACTATTCACGTAAGACTCAAATATTGTAAGTTCATTTTATAATTTTTTAATTCAGTTTTTATTCAAACTATTTCGATGTACTTAAAACATAAACAGCGAACAGCATAGAAACTTTAAGTTAATAGACTATTGACTGTGTACTTTAGATAGAAACTACAACGTAACAGAAATTTTATTGTTTGATATGTTCAATTGACCCTAAAAAATGATAAAACCCCGGAATGCTACCTTTTAAAGGGGTGCGTTTTTGAGAACGAAGTAAAAAGGTGGTATTTTCAGTTTTTTGAGTTTTACTGGAAAACTATGCATTTTTTCACTATAGTTGTCAACAGAAAAGTTGTAGCAAATTGAATTTCCAATCGAAGTCAAAAAAAATTATTTTTAACAAAAATATGCCCAAAAAACGAGTAAAAAACCCTGAAATAATGCGTTTTTTTTTCTTTTTGGTTTTTGGCCCACAACTTTTTTCTGAGGAGTTACGTATAGGCACGTCAACATTTTCATCAATGTCCTCTTCAGAAAAATCAGGCTCATAAGCATTCTCAGAATTTATTCCCAAACATTCTTTAATACATTTACAGGCAATTTTTTCAAGTAAATTTTCAGGTGCAGGAGATTTATTATTAAAAATGGGAACTAGCCCATTTATGGAATTTTTCCAACCCCAATCAAGGGGATTTAAAGTACAAGCATTCCACTGTTGCATCTGAAAATATACTCTTAACTCATGATGTTTGAGAGCATCAGTTATTGGAGGCAATCGAGATAAGGTAAATTTTGCACTTGTTGAATACTTTTGAAATAATTTATATCGACAAGTTTTTAGGCTGTTAATTTTTGAACTATATACTTTATAGTTACAATGCATTCAGATACAGCAGTGATATCCTCAACATTTTCAAGTAAAAATACATCGAGGTAATTTTTTAATTTTGAAAAATTCTTATTTACAAAATTGAAAAATATTTGTAATTGTAATTTTAAGAATTTTTTAATTTGAAGTACAAAAATAATTAAAAGAATTCGAAATTTTACAAGATAAATATGATTAATTGTTGTTTAAATAAATAAATAAATAATAATATTCAATCACCTAGAAACTTATTTTAACTTTTACATTTACAAAAATAAATTTATTAGACAAAATAATACCGAAAGTAATAAAAATTTTATAAAAATAAGAAAAAGTATCGTTGGTTAAATTGACATATCCCGGTTGATTTTAATTGTACAAACTTCTACCAGGCACCATTTTAAAGGCCTTGAGACCAGTTTTCATTTGAATATGGCATTACATATACCTAAATTAACTCAGAAAAAAGTTATAAGATGAAAATCGTCAAAAAAGGGCAAAAATTGACCAAAAATCCAAAAAGTAGTCAACTTTGATTCAATGTATCTCGGTTTCTATTAGGCGTAGGTACTTTTATAAACGCTTATTTTATAGGAAATAACATTAACATTTTTTTCTGCGAAACAATGCCTATACCTAACTCCTCTCAGAAAAAAGTTGTTGGCCAAAAACAAAAAGAAAAAAACCGCATTTTTTCGTTTTTTTTACTCATTTTTTGGACATATTTTTGTTAAAAATTTTTTTTTTGACTTCAGAAGGTCTCATTTCGATTGGAAATTCAATTTGCTACAACTTTTCTGTGACAACTATAGTGAAAAAATGCATAGTTTTCGAGTAAAACTTAAAAAACTGAAAATACCACCTTTTTACTTCATTCTCAAAAACGCACTGCTTTAAAAGATAGTACTCCGCGGTTTTATCATTTTTTAGGGTCAATTGAACATATCAAACAATAAAATTTCTGTTGTAGTTCCTTTGTACCCTCTTTTTTTTGACATAGTCAATAGCCTATAATGCGTGTTTACACGAGTCACTCGGAACCATTCTTGCGGATAAATCGACAAAAGCATTTTTACGGGACCTCGCTTATTAAAAAGTTAAGTAAAAAATAAGTGGTATCTATTATACCAAATAAAAACCGAGAAATTATATAAGGTTTTTTCCATGCAAAATAAGTTGTGGAGTTGTACAACGGTTGCGCGAAAAAATCCGCAAAAAGAGACCGGAGTTGTAGCGAGAGAACTCATGGTTCTTGCGCCATGACAATGCGCTCGCACAGTCAGCTTTGTCAATTCGTTAGTTTTGTGCCAAAAATCAAATTACTGCCTTTCCCAGACCTGCCTCTTTGCGATTTTTTCTTATTTCCGAAATTAAAATCAGTGCTGGAAGGACGCCGTTTGCTGACATCAAAGGCCGTTTTCATTCTATTGATGACATACTAGCAAATTCGTCTTAGAATTTAAAGGTAATTTCAAATAAAGCTATCCAGGACTGCTTCATAAAATGGAACACCTCTGGGAAAAGTGGGTGAATAGGGAAGGGGAGTACTTTGAAGGAGACAAGGGTTAATAACGTATAAAATTAATAACAAAGTTTAAAAAGTAAGGTTCAGTTATTTTCTGAGCAGACCTCGTATATCTGTTACATATTCCTTTAAAGTTTTATTTATGAAAGTAACACGTTATTAATAAAATTAATTTTATTTATCTTAACACTTTGAAGACAGAAATTGAATCATATTTAGCAAAAAATACTTACATCAGGAAGAAATATGTGGTCCGTAAACCTGTCAACAAATAATTTTACCATCAGTTTTCTTGCCAAAAAACAAAAGCAAAAGATTAGTTGCGTAGCTACCTACTTCAATTTTGTTGTTTTATTAATAATTATTTAAAAAAAAGAATCTTTATATGATCAGTTGCTGTGGTAAGGTATAATAGTTTTGTTATTACTTGAGATACAAAAGAATACTCCTACAAGTCCATAAACTTGTGGTTCTTGTGCGTTGTATTTCATCGTGTATTTTGTAAATTGGAATAACCGTTTTAATTCTGAAATTTCTCTGTTTCTGTAAAGAGATGGATTTTGTCATGGAATTCACTTTTCTATAACTTCTGGTTCTTACAATAATTCAGAATACCTTTTGGTTTCTATAGAATCTTCCGTTTAGAACTCTCCAGGCTAAATAAATATTTAAATTCTGTAGAAAATGTTGTGTAGTGAATAGACATTAGTTTTCAAGTAGAAATGGCACTACCGTTCGCTATGATCTTAAACTACCAAAATTCACGGACCTTTCCAAAGTTTCGGCCGTTGCGATGCTCCGAAAAGCCGCTTCCAGCAGCTCTAAATCACAGTGGACGACACCGCCAAAGGCCGAAGCTGTTGGTGCAGCAGCAATTGCCAACGCAATTTAAAGAAAGAAGAGTCGTTCCAAGTTCGAAATTCGAAGACCAAAAGTTCTCCGAATTCGACAACATCTGAACCGAAGGGAAGCTGAACCATGGTAGTAATTAAGACAATACAGAGATGTCTAGTTCCAGAGATCCAGAAGTGGAACCCGTGCCACACTAAGGCGGACTCCACAACAGAGCCACTCGCGGAGCAGCCAGACCTAGCGATCGAACTTCGACCCGATCCATCACAGGTCCAAATTATACATTGTATACACGTTATATGCATGTCCTCATTTACTGTTATTACTAAACACAATACATCAATAAATCAAATATTTAACAAAATATTTTTCAAATTATATTTAAATATTTTTTGATATCAAACATAATATGTATTTTATTCTTGTCAACATATTTATAACATACAATTATAAGTATTTACGTATCTATTATATCAAATTCTGTTTGAGCTTTGGCTTAACTTCAAATAGCTACTTCTTCGAAATAGATAAACAAGAGGTCTTAGACTCACTTGCTAATTGAAAGCTTTCATAATATTTTTCATCATGATGGATTCTAGCTCAGATTTAACTCAGAACTAAACTCTCACACATTTAAAATTGAGGTCAAATTGATTCAACTCGTGCCTAAGCTCATTTATAGAACGAACGAAGTACTTTATCAGTGCATTATTGATAAAGCCCAAACTTTTCTACGAGCAACTAATATTTTTTTTTTTCATCATCTAGCTGGTCCATATGAAAGGACACATTCCTGAATTCTAATTATAATAAAGTAAGTATATATTATTAATAATTAAAATAAAGTTCTTAAGATTTTGTATTGTCAATATTAAACTTGAATACCTACTTATTATATTAAGGGCAAGGTACTTAAAACGACTATTATAACTAGAAAAGTAGTCATATATTTAATACAGTATTAATTTATAATTTAAACAGAGACAAATTTAAAATTATTAATGAAAATATGTATGAAAATATTATTACAATATAACTTTATTTATATTTGTAATATAGGTATATGTAATAATAGTAAATTCTTCGATAAACCAGGGAAGCTCCAGCTAGCATATTTAAAAAATTCGGAATCTTTTGTAGATAAAATGTTGTAAAATTATAAATTATTGCTTAATGTAAATGTGAAGACTTTACGTGCGTTGTTACAATATAACGAATTACATGTCAGTCGTTTTGGAAATGTCTACTGAATGTGTACAGTATACAAGATGGTAGAAATATTTCAAACGTTATTTTTCTACATTGGTCATAGAAAACGTTTCTTAAACTATTTATAAATACAACACGCCATACAATGGTTCCAACGAAAACCTGTTGTTCCCTGTCACATTATTGAAACAGTTTTTAAATAATCGCCAAAGCAGGTAATTTTTTCGAAAATTTGAAATTGAAAGATATTCAAATAATATTTTTTTATTTCTCTGTACAATCTTGTTTTTTTTTCTGTTGATTAGTTTTCCAGATATAGCTTACCTTTTCGGCGATTTTTGGAACGCTTATTCTATACAAACTCAGGTTTCCATTGGAACATACTGTATAAGACTCAAGACCATACAAATGTCAACCAACATACATTCAGATAGCATTCATTCCTAATAAAATTAAAACAGAAATCACAATTATCGACTTTCTCGATCTGCATTGCAGATATAAAACATATTTGTAGTATGGCACACTACTTTCCAGCCTAACTGAGAGACTGATATGTAATGATTTTAAATTTTTATACACTAGAATAGTTCCTAACGTTGCTCCCGCTAGGGATGAGTAATTGCTATATGTCAGCAGTTCTCTTTCTCTGAGATTTTTTCGCCTGCCATCTTTGGATAGGTGGGATGGCGAACAGGATTACACCACTGAGGCAGATGGCAACGCCAGCTAGACAGAATCCCGGGTTGTAGGATTTTGTTGCATCGAATAGACTACCTGAAAAAGAAAATAATTTATGGCAAATATGAACTAATTATTGCTGTTGTTGTTTTACAATAACAGAAACCAGTAGGACGTCCATAAAGAAAATAATTGATTATGAGCTAAAATGATGGTAATATTTAAATGAACTCGTGGTCTTTGTAAACGAAGTTTTTTTCTCCATATAACTAAGCTAACTAGATATACGAAAGACAAATATAACACCTATAAGAAAAAAAAGTTTCACCGACAACGTTTGACTGCATATTCACGACGATAAATAAATACAATTTACGAAAAAAGTTAAATCAAAAATTTTACAGGCCTTCAAAGTTGTCAAGAATAAAACTAATTTAATTAATAACTTCATAACCCCTTTGTCCACAACAAAAGTTGGCACATTTATTTGTACTATTACGGCGTGTTATTTCTTAAAGCTTTAGTCAAATGGATATATTGGGTGATAGTTTTCTGCGGTTACCTCCCCATTTTAGCGGTCAAAACTTTTACAGTCGTTGCATTTTTTTAAACGGGCTGCATAATTGAAAAAGTCGCTTTATTAAAAAAAAAATAGTTTCTTGAGAAAATCGCCTAGAGAAAGCCATTCTTGAGAAAACTGAAATTATTTGCAGGTCTTTATAGCAGTGTCACGGATTTAAGTCTTTGAGTTCAGTAGGCGATGAAAACAAAATGTTGATTGCTGTGGCTATCAGGTAATGTCATTATTGTCATGTTTCTTTAGGATTGGGTTGTAAAACAAGATTCATCAGTAAAAAATAATTTTTGAAGCAAATTATTATTAATTTCCGCGAATCATAGTTTCGTAATTTCTTGTTAATCGCAGCGAACGTAGTATGGATGCGGTGTTCGACGATTCGGGAATCTTTCACTGTACAACAGTGCAGCGGCTCGACTGTTTATCTTGAACCCTCCTTATATTAAATGCATGTCGGCAAGCTTATTGAATGAATATTCCAAGTTTTATAAAACGATATTAATAAAAACTTCCTCCTAAATAAACTAATGGAACGATTTTAAAAAACTGCCAAAATCAATTAATATTAAAATAAAAGTAGAATAACAAACATAGATTTAGTAGTATATGGATGGAGTCAAAGCCCATTTTTTGCGCATTTTAGCTGTTCCAACATGAACAGCGAAGCGGCAGCGATTAGCCCTAAGTCACGTGACCTAGGATAAAATCTGGCTACAATGTTTTAAAAAGCAACTCTATTTCTGATTCGGAAATTATTATTTTTTATATAGTAACACAACAATAAGAAAAATACTGTCAAATTTTTGTGTCAAATTCGTAATAACACTTAATACCACGTAATGGATATAACAAATCGCCCGTGATAAGTCTGAAAATGTCCTCACGAATACTATATTAGATCTATGATAACAATACGCTACCAGTTAGAGCAAATGACAATAATGACATTACCTGATAGCCACAGCTATCAACATTTTGTTTTCATCGCCTACTAAACTCAAAGTGATACTGCTACGCAAGTCGAAACATACAGACCTGTAAATAATGCCCTTTTTCTCAAAAATGGTATTCTGTAGGCGATTTTCTCAAGGGACAATTTTTTTTTAATAAAACGACCATTTGTACGACCACTGTAAAAGTTTTGACCGCTGAGAGGGGAAGGTAACCGGAGAAAACTATCACCTAGTATATCGATTTGACTAAAGCTTTAAGAAATAATATGTCATAATAGTCCAATTAAATGTACCAAATTTTGACGCGATAGGTAAAAGGTTTGTGAAGTTATTAATTAAATTAGTTTTTTTTTGACAACTTTGAAGGCTTTGAACTCAAACACCAAACATTTTTTATTTAACTTTTTTTCGTAGGTTGTATTTAGTTATCGTCGTGAATATGCAGTCAAACGTTGTCGATGAAATTTGCGAACACCCTGTATAATATAACTAATGATAGGAAATATGAGACTATATCTAATTTCTCAACTATTCATTCTGTCTATGCCAATTTCTTCATTAATCCCTAATATTGAATGATACTGTTTGTATAAACTTCTAGGACTGGTACAATTCGTCACAGCAAACAAAAAAACAAGAGCAATAATATTACCTAAAATAATTCCCAAGTTACAAGTGTCTAAATGGTTTTAACAATCAAAAACACGTTATTATATGAAAAACTCAATGTACAAAACGTTTGGTTGGAAATAATTTACAGTTTGTAACAGAAATTTTTTTGTGATATTAACTAACTTTTTCCGATAGGTGACACCCTCTTTGGAGAGGTTTGTCGCAACGTCCTTGTATATAAAGCATTACATTTATTTTATTGCTCAATATAAACATATAAGTATTAAACACATTTTGTTTAATCGTTTTTATAGTTTCAGTTTTTCGTATGTTTGAATGGCATAGTTTCGGTGATGATAGACGGTTAAGTGGTAAATATTGACTGTTTCAGTTGATTTTTGATTTTTTATTTCTGAAATTAACACCTTGCGAAATAGGTGACGTATCATGTATGTACTACCGATATCTATAAATATGAACACATGATCAATATAAACCAGAGATAACCTTATTGTTTCAAGTAAACAAACACGATAGACATATATCAGCTGTACAAAACAGTGTGTTACACTAATATAAAGAATTAAGAACAATTGTTCCTAATCATTTCAAAAAATCGCTTAAATATCAAAATGCAACATTTTCAGATTTAAAACAGTAACGGGACTGACATAGAATTAAAAATCCATATACCACACTATCCAGATCAGATTATAGAACATTTCTAACCTTAAAAATCGCCTGCAAATCAGTCAAATTGAGGTTAGAAACAGCAACAAGAGTGGGATGAAACTGAAAACCGTGTTACTTGTCACGGTGTTTCTTCACTAGACAAGTGTGAAGTGTGAGTGAAGACACTTACGGAGCGCGCATACCAATTCGCATTTCGCTTTATGACCCAAATTAAAGTTTAAGGAGTAGCCGTTGTAGCGCTGATGCGCTGGAGAGTTTAGTAACGAAGTTGCACTTACAACGTCAGACGCAGTAGATAAGGGGAAGGACTTATTTTATATTTAAGTTAGTAAAAACAAAAATTACGTTTATATACACGTCATTTTAAATTTCTCGCGCGTCTTTTTATACTCTACTTACTTACATAAGCGCCGCCTTAACGTGACCACAGAAATGACTCACTTTTTTAACACATACTCTCCATTTCTTGTCTATACTCCACAGTGTTTCTCTTGACAAAACGATCATTTGCCTGTAACGAAGAGTCATATGGAACGTTGGTGCGTTTGAATAGGTTATTCTTCTACATTTTTTTGACCCACTACAAACAAATAATGACTGACATTGAATAGCCAGCTGATTTAGCCTTCAAGGAGTTGAAAATTTAGGCAACCACAAAAGTAGAGTACAAAAAAGTAGTCAATGATATGGTTAAAACTTTGGCAGGATGTAATGTTTGGTATGTATTTGAACTTACATTTTCCGCATACTCGTATATATTCACTTTCAAAGTTTCTAGGAGATTATAGGGAATAGCAGAGTGAACGTTTCCGTTTCCAACAAGATATAAAAGAAATCGTGCGTATATATTAGGACGATGGGACTTAAAACATGATCGTCGACTTCAGTTGGATGTTAAAAAAGGAGAAAGAAAATGCAAAAGGAACTCGCTTTGCAGATATTTTGAAAATAAGAGAGTACGTTATCGTAATATATAAGTAAGGGACATTTTCTTCATGTGATGCAAACAGAGTTGAATTAGATCTATATGCTTTGTACGCGGGAGCCAATGAATGGCTCTATCTGTCGTGCAGGCTTCCAACTGTGCCATTCAAATGACTGCAGTAGGAAGCGACCTGCTAACTGCAGGTACTTTGTTGCACGACTGCCACCCACAGAGGGCGTAACACAATGTTTGAGTCGTCAGTGCCGCGAGAAACAACTACTCCGAGGGCTATTTGCCCCTACCGGCATTGAATTATACTCGCGACACCTAGTACAACAGCTAGGATCGTTTGTCAGTTTATCCCACCAGGCACAGACCGGTTTCGGACTTATTAGTCCTCATCAGTGTGTCATAGGTCTACAGGGTGTTAAAAAATGAGTGTAAAATATTTCAGGAGGTAATAGTATGAACCAAAATAAGCAGAAAAGTCCTAATAAACATGGGTCCGCAAAGTAACGGTTGCGGAGATGGACCACTATTCGTTTTTCAAACATTTTATTTTATTAGGAATAAACCGACAAAGGAAGCTTTTAACAAACAAAAAACAAAGTTACAGAAGATTTTCAAAGTGCCCTCCGTCCATTTCCAAGCAGGCACGACATCTTCGTCTCAACGATATTCGAACTCTTTCGAAAACACCCTCCTTGGTTTGGATTTCTGGACACTTTTGATTAATCCGTAGCTGCAGCTCTCCCAGGCTATTTACAGGAGTGCCATACACTAATGTCTTCAAATATCCCCAAACAAAGAAATCTAGAGGGTTCAGATCAGGCGATCTTGGAGGCCATAAAACAGGTCCGGCCCTTCCTACCCATCTATGTGGAAAAGTTTGGTGTAAATGCTCTCTAACGGCCATGGAAAAATGAGCAAAATAAAAAAAGGGGCTAAAAACATAAAATATTCCATATCTCCGCAACCGTTACTTTGCGGACCTATGTTTATTGAGACTTTTCTGCTTATTTTTTTCATACTATTACCTCCTTAAATATTTTACACTCTTTTTTAACACCCTGCTTCTTCATTTACTTTTCCAATAGTATATAAATAAATTTTGACTTAATGACCTCAAACAAACTTTATGTTTGGCACAATAAAGAAAATGCTGTAAAACGTATAACCTCTTCTTGATTAAAAAGAGAACCATCGATTTCGTTTGAACGGGAAGTAAAAATAAAAGGCATTGTTTTTTTTTTAATATTTTTTGCCGATTTCTGTTGTTTATCAAATAGATATGTTCTAGTCATGACCTTTAGTTAAAATCGTACATTAAAAAATTTTTACCATTGTCAGTTTATTGCGTAACTATTTGTGTATTAAAACCGTTAAAGAACTTGTGTATAAAAATAATTCATTTTTTGTTCATCTTACTTATGTCCTGTATTAAATGTATAAACAAAGTTAGTATTTATATCTAAATATAAGTCTAAAGTTATAAGTACCTGCAATTGGTGGTCCTACAAGTGACGCTATTCCTTGAAACAGGAGTAAAAGTCCGAACGCATTTGTTAATTTTTCTAGCCCTAATAAATCCACAAGTATGACAGACGTGAGTCCAACATAGGCCCCAATAGTGAATCCAAACACGGTACTATAGATGGCCAAAGAATAGAAACTATTACAAAAGGCACTAAGAAATGTAGCTGAAAAAGAATAAATATATGAGGTTAAAAGAATTTTATACAATGCTTTATTCTATACAATGCTTTAGTCGGTTTACCTTTCACATTTTTATATTATAGAGGCGTGAATCTAAAGCTAAATATTTTTCGATACCAACATAATAAATATAGAAAAGGGCATGGTTGATGCGTGTTTGATAGTAACACAATAAAATTAGATAGGAAATTGTGCCAAAGAAGTTATTCATAAAATTTACATTCATTATTAGGCTTGGGCAAAAAATCGATATATTGATTCAAATCGAATTTATTTTTGAGTCGAATCATCGATTTGCAGAAAAAATCAAATCGGATATAGATATCGCCTCGAATTGAATTGTCGAATCGAATCGAAATGTCGAATCGAATCGGTAGTAGGTCTGAAAATCGATATATCGATTATAATCCATTTATCGAAAAATCGATTATCAATTCGAATCGAATTTGAACATTTATGTGTAGCTAAAATTGCTCGATTTTTTATTTAGGTACTTTACTGGTATATCGCGGTCAAAATTACGACAAGATTTTTCTCTCTGACTTTTCGGTTTATATTTAAATTAAATCATCTTCAGAGACTACACGATACATTTTCATAACATTTTTTAGTTACGAGTATTATGCCTATTGAAAACTTTTTTGTACTTTTAATTTTACTGCAATTTGATAAAATACTATTTATATTTACATTGTATCTGATCGTTACATATAAGTATGTAATAATATTCTAGTGTGAGGTAAGGCCCATTTGCACAAGTATATCTTAGCGCACTTAATAGGTGTGAAAAACTGTATCGTGTTTTCACTCAAGCGTCTTGAATCTTGGAGTGAAGACACGATACAGTTTTTCACACAGCGATCTACCTTTTAGAGCTACCTATTTTGAATGTGTTACGAATTTAGGCAAATAAGTATCTCATACTCGTATATTGGATAATTACAAATAAATTTTTATCCAACTCAATTCCCTATGCATATAATTAACAAAAATAGATAAACATTTACTAAACACTGAACCAAAATGTACAATTTTTCATTAAAAATAAAGGAATAAAACGAAAACAATATTATTAGAAGATAATGACAAATCCAAGAAAAAAATTAGACAATATATTTTTTATCATTGAAATCAGCACTAGTTGTTCATATAAGACTATAGGGCCCCTATTCAGAGCATTCAGTACTACCATTCAGAAATATTTTAATTTAAATGTTTTTGCTTTTTATTTGCCAACCGATATTTATCAAAAATAATAGGATTCTTCCTCCGGCTTGTTTGAAACTTTTGAAACTAAATTAAATTTACTATTAAAAGTTTAAATCACTGCAGTTTCTAGGGGCTATATATCTACCAAATACCTGAGTTATCTATTTATTTGCCTATATGTTTGTTAATAAACACAAAGAATTAATTATTGTTTCATTTCCTTATATTCTATTCCATTCAAAAATACAAATCGATTCGTAGTGATATATAATTTTTTTCAACGCCTAACTACCGAATTAAATAAATTTAACTCGACAATCAGATATTTCGATTCAATTTATTTTGATCCGAATTGACTAGCCATTCGATATTTCGATTTGACTTTTTCGATGGATCGATGCAAAAATACAAATCAATTCGATATAACGATTTATGGGATTAATCGATTCGAATCGATTCGATTCAAATAAAATTATACAATTCGATTAATCGATACGAATCCATTTTTTTGACGAAACTCGATTCGTTATTTCGCGAATCGCACAGGCCTATTCATATTATTTCAAATTAAGTCGAAGCATTGCTAACTTTAACATTATCGACTATACCGGGTAGGAAAGTACCGATGGTCTATCTGAAGTTACGTGAGAGCGATAAAGTAAGCCATAGAAATCCATGTGATAGACAAGGATGGGTATAGTTAAGGCGTCTAATAGTCACCGCCCATTTCGCCCTTCCACAACTTCAGATACAGGGTCGGAAAGTCCCCACGGTTCATCGGCGGTTACATGAGAGCGATAAAGTAAGTCATAGAAATCCGTGCGATAGAGAAAGATGGGTATAAGAAGTGGATTTTATTTGTGGAAGGGCGAAATGGGCGGTGACTATTAGACGTCTTCATTATAGCCAACTTTCTCTATTTCACATTTTTCTATGACTTTCTTTATCGCTCTCACGTAACGGCCGATGAACCATGGGGATTTTCCGACCCTGTAGACCATCGGTACTTTCCTACCCTGTATACAGCAGCGCAGCGGTGCAAGTTTTAGTTAGGAAACTTTACTAGATGATCGGAGATATGTCAAATAGGTTCGTCCACTAATGGCGAATATATAGGCAGTTTGTATTACTAACAGCTTCAATATTTCGACGCCTCTGAGTATTTTCGACATCTGATTAGGGTTTCCAATTCTCAGTGGAATTTCTAAGCGAAAAGATTTTGTCCATTATAATTAAATTTTCTTTATTTCTAAATAAGATTACTATAAAGTTTAAATCGAAAAAGTACTTAGTGGTGTCAATATTTTAAGGTTTTAATAGTACCATTCATCAATTACTAGTTGAGTATTTGTAAGTAAACTCACTTTTATCTTTAATTATCAGCCTAAGTGTCATTAGTTTACGTTGAACATTCTCAGACATATTAAGAAAGTGTGACATAAATTTATTTAATTTTAAAACCCTTTATCTCGTTGCACGTCACAAATCATTTGTTCTGTTACCTGTCGAAGTTTCTTGGTTAAAACCTGAACTGTCTTGTGTCAAATCGGTTAAATTATTATCAAAGAGTCAATTTTTCTTCTGAACAATGGAAATAAAAAATAATTGAAAATCACGTTTATAAGATTGTTATTGTTATAAAACTTCGTATCAGGAGTACAATAATGTAAGGTTTGATGGACACAATCTCTAATGGTAAGGAATATGGCCATTAGGCTATGTTATAAGTGCAATAAATTATAAATCACCCAATAATAAACTATTCTTCTACAAACCTCTTTCAATATTTACAGTTACATCAATAATTACACTGTAATAATAATAATAATAATAATAATAATCTCGCTTACCATTATATGTATAACAGTCGAACCTCATAGGTATTACTATAAGTGATGATATTGTCAGAAAATATGCCCCCCCCCCTAGCATTGCCGCACCTATGACATACTGATGAGAGCTAACAAGTCCGAAATTAATATATGTCTGGTGTAATTCAATGCTAGCTGGATAATATAGTCAGTGGGGTAGTTGTTTCTGACAATATTATCATTTAAAACTTTGCTTTTGTCCTCATTTGAGTGACACTGGTCATGTTTTCTTAATAGCTGCAGTACAGCTTTCTGTCATTTCTTCTCAGGCAGTAGCATTGGCTACTAGATGTAGCTCTCAGTTACATCTTTATTTGTATTAATGTAATGTTGAGAAAACATTAGATGCAAATATTGCAAATATTATACAAAAGGTTCTATTAAATAAAAAATGTATTATTGATATATTTTTAATTTTAATTTAATTATTTTTATTATCAAAAGGTATTGTGACCTCTGTGTTAATTTAACCGATTCTGTAGCAAATATACAGTGAGGAAGCGTGGGTTGGAACAAATTCATTTAAAATTCAGGGTTTTTTTTTTTTGGAAAAACATTTGGACACGTCGGTTTTTATTTTTGGTTGCGGTTTTCCTAATGGCAAATTCATGTATATAGGGTGGCCCAAAAATAAGTTACGACAATCAGCTTCATTTTTTCAAATGGAAATACCTATTTTTTATTTCATTTTTGAATTCTGCACCGATTTGTAAGTATGTTTCACGTACCATGTTCTATACCTATAATAAACTCAACAGCTATCGAGAAATTTACGATTTATTTATTTATTTATTTATTTATTAATAAAACAACAGCAAATTAAGTAAATGTTCAAATTGTTGACCACACAGGAAAAGAAAAAACGTAGCAAAAAATGTTGACCCCATTGTCAGTATGTAATGTACTAATTTTAACAACATTTTTTAATTAATATTTCAAGATAATCACAAGTATCCAATTCAATTGTTGAGCAGTGTATTATTGACTTGATATCTGAGTTTTTTTTTGTATATCGAGCAAAACATTTAAATGTGTGTTTATTTTGTTTTTTTTTTCAATTCTGGTGATTTTGATTGTTCACTTGTCACCGTTTAGTCAGATGGAACTGTCAAGTGTAGTCGTAAAGTTTGAAAGAATGGCGCCTTTAACTGACAAGTAAAGAATAAGTAGAAATATTGATGATGGTAGGATATGGCGACAGGACTCGAACATAAGCTGAATTTGCCAATTGTTTAAAGATAAGTACCCGGAGAGGCCTATTACACGATCGGTAGTTAGTAAGGCAGAAAAAAAGTTTAGAGACATTGGCCACGTAAGAGACAATTACAAAACTAACTGTCTTACTGATCCAGAAAACACAATTGAATTTTTTGTTCCATGGGCATCCGCCGAAAAATTTCTCAGGGGGGCCAAATCGAAATTGTAGATGTGTATTTAGGAGAAGCTTAAAATCTCACGAATTTTGTTGGCTTATACTGCAATCAATCAATGAATCCAATTTTATTTCATTACTTTTTTACGTGAAATCACCCGTTCATTATGACATGTCCAAAAGCCTTATTTCAATACATATTATGATGGAAAATAAAATGTAATAAATTTAATAAACTAAAGTTAAGACGGGAACTAAGGTTAGTACAATTTAATTAATAAAATAAATGTTATAGAAATTATATTTTTTAAATTGCGTTTCCCCCTCATACGTCTGAAAATATGAGTAATAGGTACATGATTTTTATTCAACTGATAATATTTCTGCTATAGTCCAAGAAAATCCCTAATCTCATAAAATCTCTAAAAAAAAACTTGAAAGAAAATTTGATAATAAAGAACATCTACCATTCTACACCATGTTTCATTTCCATTTTCCAAGTATTTTCGAGACACTGCCTGTCTAAAACTTC